GTACTTCTTTAGTAAGTAGCATTGCAGTACAATATTTAAACGTAAATTCTATGCAAATTGAATTTATGTGTTCGTCATTCGTGATATAAATTGAAAAGTACATGTCACGATTGTGGAATTACATATTTGTTTTTCATCTGTGCATTCTGAAAGTGAAAAGTCGGGGACAAAAAATCTGAGAGGTTGAATGAAGTGTGAATGTCGAACGAAGTTTCACGTGATTTCAAGAAATGCTGTCGAAGCCGTTACATCCAATGCGTTTCCCTGACTTGGCGTGCACTGGATTCAACCAGAACCTTCAGCTGCTGCCGACGCCGGATTGTCCTGTGGCCCAAATAGGCACAGATATGAACGTTGAAAAGCAGAAACTTACCTTCTGGATTCAATAATTATTTGACTGTTTGAGAAAACAGAAGAGAGAAAAGCTAGAAAACTGAGCATCAATACAGCTAATAAAACGTGACTGATGAAATCAGTAAATTGTAATATGAACTGACAGGCAAAACATTGCACCAACTGATTTTTTTTTCATTTTCTTGATATAAGAAATCTCTGCCCTTAATTTGTCTCATTGTTTTTATCAATAAATATTTTTTTATGCTATGTTTTAAATTGGGAATATTAATTAGACGTAAGCACACTTAATCCGAAACAAGGATAAAGGATTTGTCAATGTTTAATTTTTACGAAATTGAAAATGTTTATTCAGTCTCATTTGAATTCTGAAGCAATAAACTGTTTAGTTTTCATCTATGTTTTATTAATTTCAATTTTTAAACATAAAAATGCCACATAGTGCTGAGGATGTTGAGCGTGGTGTGGCAGTTATTGTGACTTATGATGGACGTTTCATCATGTATGATGCTATTGCCATTGGAGTCCTCTACGAAACATGCGACGACACTGCCATTAGAAGTTTTCGAGAAACTGGGTCCTACCATTGAAGGCCAGTTCTGGACGCACTAGGGTAACAGAACCACTGGATGACCGTTTTTTGACTTTGAGAATTTTGCAAAACCGGCACCTTACTGTTGTTCAAGCGATTCATCAGCTCCGCGAAGTTCGAGGTGTCAAAATTTCTGAACGCACGGCCCGAAGAAGATGAAATCATTATGGACTGATGGCTTTTCGCCCCATCAGTGGACCTCAATTGACCAGAACACACGGAGTTTGCTCGAGAACACATCCATTGGTTTTTAAACGATTGATGATTGGTCTGCTGTACTTTTTACAGATGAGTGTAGATTTGTTCTACGATCTCCAGATGGGCGTAAAAGAGTGTGGAGAAGGCAAAATGAAAGGTACGAATCCTGTAATTTTTCCTAAAAGCCAACCTTTTCAACGTAGCTCAGTGATGGTGTGGGCGGGAATTTCAATGGACAATCGCACAGAGTTGGTTGTTATTCGTGGAGGATCTTTTACGTCCACTCGCTATGTGGATGAAGTTTGGGGGTCTTTGACGGTTTTGTATATCATGAAATTTTGGAATATCATGCGTTGCCTATCCTAGATGAAATCAGCGACAATCCTATTCTAATGCACGTCCACATGTCGCTTGCATCGTACAAACTACCTTCAACGGCATAACATCAGGATCACGTTTTCCAGACTTGAACCTCAACGAACATTTATGAGCGAATAAGAGCACGTCCATCACTTCCTGATACACTCCACGATCTTGAAAGGACTCTTCGAGAAGAATGGGCTAACCTCCAGCAAAGAGACTCTTCCAGCCTGAGGAGAAAATATGCCGAGGCGTCTTTGAGAATACTTGATATTGAAATGCTAATTAAAAATAAAAAACAAAATTAAAACAAATTTTATCTGTCCGTTGTTTTTAAATTTTTAGATTTTTTAAAATATTTTTTATATATTTTCCTTAGCAATTTACATTTTTTAAACTTTTTTAGACAAAGATTCAATTATTAAACGTTAAAAAACGTGAAACTTTGATTAATATATACAAAATCAAGTTATTACAAGTGGGCAGAATTTTTGCGTGTCAGTGTATATACAGTGATGCTTACTTGGCATTATACAATAACACTGATATACAGTTTATCTATTTATTTCTACTTGTTGAATGCTGGGTGAGGATGACCTGTAATTCAGTGGTTTCTGATTATTTCACTGTTTTGGTTTATTGTTCCAAATACGTCTGCAAACGTGCTAACATCACTACTTTCTTTTAAATCCCAACGTTGCGTTTTTAATATAACAAATGACAAACTAAATAAATTCTGAAGGCAGGCGATGTGTCATACTATTTCACAATTCAATGTATGAATTACTGATAAAGTCCTGTTAGTTATAGTTTTTTCAACAAACATGAAAACAATCTATTTTTTAAATAAATAAAAAAAAGACACGAAGCTGTTGTGTAGGCTTCGGTCGCTATCGAGTCTTTGTGTGCCTTATCTTCGTCGTAAAATGAGAAAAAACGCTGAATTACAACAAAAGGCGAGGGCAGGGAAGGCCGTTAAAGTATTAGTCAAGCTTTATTTCTGACTTGTATCTCCTAGTTCATTCTAGCGCAAAATACTTATAGCTCTAAGAAAAAACCGAAATCTCTAGCGAGAGGAAGTGTTCATTGTGTTATGTTTTGGTGATTACATTAAACGTGTGTATGTGGGAGTTTTGAGTGTTACAGCTAGTTTCTTTTGGGGTCTACTACTGTCATGGTATCGTATATTATCGGCTTCAGTCCTCTGATAACAAAAGGTAAGAAAATAAGTAAACTTGTAGTAAAATTTGGCTTGGTTAGGACAATAATTTACTTGTCATTATTAAAATTGGTACATTACATTACCGCAATTTGATATACTAGAATTAACTGGAAATAGTTAATGGCGGAATTAGGAGTAATACATTTCATAATTATCATTTCATCGTAGAATTACATCAGAACATCTTGAGTGAACATTCTGGACAGAAAATAGGTAAATATTTTTCGGAAAGTTATGAAAAGGTCTGCCTGGAATGTTAAGGCACAATGGAATGGCTAATAATCCATTGATTACCTTCAGCCACGAAGTCCCGAATGGTCAGCAGGCAGGGGAGCACGTGCTGAAGGTGGACCGGCGGAACGAAACACCTTTTATTTTCTTGGAGTGCAACGGGAGGCTGCATTTTTCATTTCATTTCATCCGGAAAAGACACAGCCGGACCTTGAAATCGGTATCCAAAATAGCAACCGTAAGACGCCGCGGCGGCGTTCATGCTGCATTGGATTATGGGGCGTTTCGTTCCGCTGCGTCTGAGCTCATCCCAACTGGGTCAGCCCCGGACGGTTCCTCAATTACGCTACGCAGGTATTCTTGAAAAAAAAGAACCCAGATCGCCTAGCCACACCTGGGTCCGGGACCGGCACAAATCAATTTAATTGCCGAGATGACCCAGAACTGATGAGGTCATCACCTTTGTGACGAGGACTTTTTATTTACTGTTTTCACGCCTTTTGACTGGACGTGCTCTTGAATAATCGCCTACAACCGTGCTCTTCCTCTACGTTTTGCACAATTGGGTCAATAGTATCAAGGGGAAAAAGGTGTTAACTTCCGAAACTTCACCGTTTGCTACAACTCTTAAAAAATTATTTTTTGAATAAACTCGATATAAACTAATTTAATAACTATAAATGGGACGTAAGTAGCCGCAAGGTTAAGGCGTTGCCACGGTGCTCATCATTGTAAGTTAATCCACCCTCAATCGAACCTTACAAACATACAAATGAGCTTTTTGCACCACCCCAGAGTTGATATGACCTCTGCTGTTGCGAATCCTTGGTAAAAAAATATACATAACTATAAAATATATATAAAAATATATATAACAAAAAATAATAAAAACAAAACCATATCAAAGAAGAGAGTGGACAAGTAGTTAGCAGTATAAAAAAATGGATAGGATGGCTGACATATCATATGCAAAAGCAAATGGGATTTTTTGTACCACCCCAAAGTTGATATGACCTCTGCTGTTGCGAATCCTTGGTAACAAAAAATATAAAATTAATCTAACAGAAAATAATTAAAAGAAAAACTATATCAAAATATCAAAGAAGAGAGTGGACAATTAGCAGTATACGGAAAAAAAAGAAAAAAAGAAAATTTTCTATGGTGTTTGATATATCCTATGCAAAAGCAACTTACAGTACAGGACGGCAGTATTTTGTTTAATAATTTATTTATTTATAGGCACCTTAAAAATAGCATTGTGAAGCTTCGCTCGAGCTTTGAATAGTCTTGAATCGGTCTTCGATTGTTGTAGGTATCAGGGACAAACAAACAGCTCGTATTTTTAATTATGCTTTTGTTATTAGCATTAGCATGAAATGGTAATAGGATGTTAACAGGATAATGCTAATGAAGCTAGGCGTCAATTAATGGCGCTAGACTACAAGCAATAAATTTTGGAAATCGACAAAAATTCCAAATGAAATCCTGTCAAAAGAATGTTTTATAGTGGGATTTAATTTAAGCGTTATACCATTTAAATATCGGACCCAAGGTTAATATGAATTTCTCGCTACAAAATCTACCTTTTCATAAATGTACATTCGAATTTATTTGAATCAATATAGGAGTGGTTTATTTGAACCGAAAGTTTTCTGGATTTTAATTCGGATCGAAAATTAGTTTTTTAACGACTATAATATTGAGACATATATAAGAGGATTTGGTCATGTGTGGTATGTAAACATGTCGGTGGCCTGTCCGGAATAAATATGGCTTGTTCGGTAACAGCCGAGTCGTCGAGGTTTTTTTAATAAATTCTGACTGCCAGTGGGAGTTTTGGTGGTCGCTCGGTGTTGCATCTTGTATAGCCCGGAGCCTCTTAAAAGGCGTTATCTATACCCGGGGATCTACAAGTGGTGCGGCCGGCGTTCCCTCTAATTATGGGACATTTCGTCCCGTGATCGCGGAACATCCCCCCGGGAACACGTCATACGGCTTTACAGACTTTATTAAAAACGCTTTCTCTCCTTTCCTTTGTTCCAGGTGGTGCGTTTACCGGGCAGGGGAGGGTGAACCAGCTCGGAGGTGTCTTCATCAACGGCCGTCCACTTCCGAACCACATCCGGCTGAAGATCGTCGAGATGGCAGCCGCTGGAGTCCGGCCCTGTGTCATCTCGAGGCAGCTGAGGGTTTCCCACGGCTGCGTCTCTAAAATCCTCAACAGGTACGTGATCTCTCTCTGACTATCTCTTTCTCAAAGAAAATATCGGTCTAATTTTCTTATTTCAACAGATATCAAGAAACTGGGTCGATACGGCCGGGAGTAATTGGAGGTAGCAAACCGAGAGTAGCCACCCCGGACGTAGAAAGGAGGATAGAACAGTACAAACGTGACAGTCCAGGGATTTTTTCATGGGAGATCCGGGATCGACTTATCAAAGTGAGTTTTTGGAATACTGAAATATTGTCAACATAGCAAGAGAAACAAGCATCACAATATTAAGTATGATTATTAGGCATGGCTATTAAGTTATGATCATCTTAATTTATCATTTTCAAGAAAGACGACATAAAGTAAATTTATACATTTCGTACGTCTAAAAGATATATAAATTATCGTTAGGATTGCTCCAATTTATCCCCAAGCTCAAATTATAACACAGTTTACTTCTTATAAAACCAGTTAAAATAAATAAAAAATTAATAGGTCAATCTACACTGTATTAAATGTTAAATTTAATGCCTCATTACTCATAAAAATGCTTTAGAAATTTAATTAGCGTTGATTTTTGTTAAGAATTAATAATCTTTATAAGCTTTATCAATCTGTTGAAGGATGGCGTTTGCGACAAAAACACGGCACCTTCGGTTTCTTCAATTTCCCGTCTTCTTCGTGGTGGTCGGAGGGATGAGGGTGACCTGAGGAAAAATCATTCCATCGACGGCATTCTCGGTAAGTAAAGATCTTGTAATCCATAAGTGTAGCAAGATTTTGGACAATTTGAACGGGGAAAAATAGAACAATTGCGAATGATGTAATGTAAATTGTCCTAATTGTGAGAACAGGGCCATTATTGACAGGTACGTCAAGGGTTTTTGGTTATAGCGAGGCTGGGCGGACCGTTGAGGAACGATCCGCAAAATAAAATTTGGTACTGTATTTACAATTTATTAGTTTTCACTTGTTTTAGTGAAGTTATGAAACGTCATTAGTTGAATTAATTGTGGATGGAAGATTGAAGCGGCGTATGTCGCAGTATCGATTTTGCATAGTTATGAACAATCGTCGACGCGTCTTGGCTTTCTGAAATTGGAGGTTCCCACTGTTTTTGAAATTGAATATTCTTCTCTATAATATTGTATAATTAATAATTATATATGTGCCATGTTATATTTCCTAACGTTTTCCCAAATAAAAATACGTTTTAAAATCGCTTCGTGATTGAAGGCTGGCTTATTCACATGAAACGAAGTGAAAGGTGACGCGCGGTATCCTGTTTAGGATAGAATAAGCATAACAGATGGGTTTCCATCATGTGGGCCGAAGTTTGAAGAACCACCCAAAGAGATGATAACAAGTCATTATGTCCGGCCCAGTGGGTTGCGATACATCAACCGGCTGCATGCATCTCGCATCTCGTTAATGAGGCACCGCTGATTTGTTAACGTCGCACGTGATGAGTGGTGCCATACATCAAAAGATTCACTGGACCTTTCCGCCCTGGCCGGGATGTGGCCCCTTCTGGCTCTTGAGGGAAAGCCCATAAAAGCTGTGGGCAATAAAAATTTGGTACACAATGGAACCTGCTGGGCTCCGTCTGCGGTCGAAAGTCTCCTGAGTTGTCTTCACGTTTCAGGTACTTCATTGACCACTTTGACCGACTTGTCCCACTCTCGGACCACACCGAGGAGTCGTTTCCGAGCCTTTTTACAAAGTCCATCAAAGACAAACTTGCAAATTGAACACTAACCCTTGTTGTTTATGTAACATCCTTTTAAATTTCACCTCAATTTTTGCTCCAACTTGTTATATTATCGTTTTTACATAAATGATAAAATGACCGGAAAAGTAATTAATTCACTATCTCTCGCGATTTGCTCGCAGCGTTTGCTTATATATTGATCATTTAGTTACATCATTTTTGGTATACATACAGCAGTCAAAAACCCGTTTCGTAAACAGCATTAAAAAATAACTAATGGCGGTAAAATATATTAACGTTTTATTTTAGATAACTATTCTGATGTATGTTAGTAGATTTGATATTTACGATGTTTGACTTCGTCCATAAGTAAGGTAGTTTTAGTTCACTTTTATTTTTATTCTTATTGTAATGAGGTCCTTTCCGACCATTCCTGGCGTACTTGTCCTCGCAGATTTGATCTGTTGAACGTTTTTCGTTTTGCCTATCGTCTGAGAGACCACGCCGTGAGGATAGGGCAGACCAGAACAGCAACAACCACGTTCAATCCCCCGTCGCCCTAAAGACGAAATCTCATATTATCTTGTGTTGGTGAAGTCTGAGATGACGATCCTTGTCTCCGATCAGCGTGGTTTGTAGTGTCCGTTTCGCCATTTAAATAATTTGTTAAGTTCATCCATTTTAAAACTATTTGTACTTTCAATTTCCTGGATAATGTACAATACTTAATTTCACAGGTCAAAAGGGTCGTTTAGTTCATCATTGTTATGATATCGTAAGGTATTTGCCATCGCGGCGTCCAGCTCCGTCCACAAAGCCGGTCGCAAAGTGTAAAAAAAAATCGGGAATCATGTTTTGATGACGGTCCTGAGGATAGCCGAAGCCGTTGATCCGGGGGCGGGCGGAGGGTGAAAGGTAATGACATAATCCCGAGGGACCACCTATGTGGCAGATTCCCCCACCCGCATCAACCACCAGTCTTCATCGCTGTTCCAACAACCTAATGATGATGAATAACCGGGCGACACGCCTCTCCCACCCAGGGAATGTCATCTCGGCCACTTTTCAGGCATATATCACACCGCCGTCGGGACTAATCTCGTCTAACACGGGAAATTTATTGCCTAATATATTCTACATAGTCTGTTTGGCTTTATTTATTCAGTTGCTATAGCCCGAGGATGCATCGCGAATATTTAACGTAACCATGTATTCAGCGGCAACTCATACAAATATATTTGTTACGATTGAGTTTGTCTATTCTCCAAATAACGCAAATATTTCAAACTTTATTTTGTTTCTTCAAAATGATGGATTGAATTAATTTGTTCTGTTCAAAAACGTATCCTTGGTATTGTTCTGTTGGAATCAAAAGGCAATCATACTCCAATTAAAATTATAGTAAGGTCCTTTCCCATTCCTCCAGGTCTGTCTATCAAAACTGGTTTGGTCTGTCAGACGATTTGTTATTTCGGCATCTTTAGGTCTGTTGTTATTTTGCGACCTGTGTAATTTACTGATGTTCAGTGGTGGTTATTAAAAATATGGCAGAATGCCGAAGCGAGTCTGACAGACCAAAACAACAAGGATATCAGGATGAACAGAAATATCCACATCACAGGTTTATCTCCCCTCAAACCGTATGAAATCTAACAAGATCAACATTGGTCAACATGCATTATAATTTTTTATTTCAGAGGAATGGGAAGCTATTTATTCAATGACAGCAACAATTTTTAATTAAATCATTCCTTCTTGATGTCTCTAAGGGATGAACAGGTATTTGCTCGTTTGGAAGATCCTGGTCTGTCTATCCTTCCTAGTTTGTCTGCACTTTTGTTGTTATACTTTTGTCTCCCAGATTCGTATTAGCATTCTGAACTATATGTGTCACATACAAACTAGAAAGATGGATAGACCAGAAATCATGGTCAAACTTAAAGTACTTTTGATTGAAATCCTCGTGAATAATAGTTTTCGAGTCAGAATTGTCCAATCGTATGACTTAAATTTAATTTCCATAATACTCATAATAACAAATGGTTTCGTTTCGATTTGGTGTCAGGTCCTAGCTCCGGTGAGGATTCGGACACGGAAAGCGAACCTGGCATACCGCTGAAAAGGAAACAGCGTAGGAGCCGGACCACGTTTACAGGCGAACAGCTGGAGGAACTTGAAAGGGCTTTCCAACGGACCCAATACCCCGATGTCTACACGAGGGAAGAACTTGCCCAGAAGACGAAACTGACCGAAGCGAGGGTCCAGGTCTGGTTCAGCAACAGGCGGGCAAGGCTGAGGAAGCAGCTCAACTCGCAGCAGCTGAACGCGTTCAACACCATGTCTCTCCAGACGGCCTTCTCCACACCGCACCACCACCCGCAATATCACCATCCGAGCTCTTCGGCGACGACGCACACTTCTGAGCACCCCAACAACTTCCCCACACAAGGTAAGCACTAGTGAATATCCAAAAACACCAAAATTGGTCTTATACCGCACCTGAAAACCAACTTGTCAAAATCTCGAGGGCCAGGGCACAAAGAAATTTTGGGTAATGAACAAGCAGACCAACTGGCCATAGTAGTCTGCAAGACCAATTTTTGTACGAAAACCTACAATTAGGATAACAAGATTTAACCTAAACTTCTCCTCCTGAAAGGTCCTCACAAAAAAAGAGAAATATAAGAATTCAGAATAAGTGCCAGATATAGAAAATTCATAATTAAATAATTCTCACCAAATAGTTAGTTATTCCATATTTGCTTAGACGACATAATTTTTCCAATTAATTGTTCTTTTTATCCAAGGCTTTTGGTTGTGATGAAAAATTAGTATCACGAGCGGAATTCGAACCCACAACGTTCGGCTCAATGCGCAGCTGTTCTAATAGCTCAAGTGGTTGGTTAGAGCAGCGGCGTATCCCGCTCGTGATACTAATTATTCGTCTCAACCAAAAACCTTAAGTAAAAAGAATAATTAATTGGAACAGTTAGTTATGGTGAAACTCAGGGAAGTGATAAGGTTATATACCGGTCACTGGCATCTGAGAAAACACCTACGCAACATGGTTATGTTCAATGATGACTGATTTTGTAAATTATGCAACCAGGAGGTAAAAACCCCAACCATATCATCTTCGAAAGCAATCGTTCAATGGAGACATACTCAATAGTCATATATTCAATGACCCACTATTTATGAAAAGAGTCAATTGAACTGAAGTAATGAAAAGTACAAATAAGCATATCTGCATGGCTTGGGAAATATGATAATAAATAATAAAACAAACCGATATGTATGTTCGAAATATGCAGGAAATTAAATTAACTATTTTATTATAGTTATAGTTTTTATCGATCGTTTTTTTTAATCGTTCGAGCCTTTTGAAACGAAAGAATTCTACCTTTTTTTAAAAATGATCCAGTATTAGAACAATGAATTGTTATACCAAAAGTAGTCCGGCAACACTTCTAAAATAGACTGGATGAAAGGGACTGCTTGATTTTCACTTTAAGAAATGACGTTTTGATGAAAAGCATCTCTGGGGGAGCGATGGGCTAAATTATTGTTGTTATGGGGAGGTCGGTGAGCAAGGGTGGGTGGTATTTAGGGGAGTTAATCGGGATCGCCTACTCACCTAGTGAATTGAAGTCTTTTCGTAACTGCTCCACCTTTATCGCACTCCGTATGATTAGGGGCAATACAACTATTTGAGCTCTATCATTGACCGGGCCCCACCATTTCGGTACCGTCTTTTATTACAGGGCTGGGGGCGAGGCTTTAATTCACGACTCCCAGCAGAGATAATCCCAGGGTTTTAAAAAAAACCTCTTCCCGCTCCACCCTTTTCCGATGGTTTGGCAACGACGCCTTCAAAGAAGCGGCAGGGATCATAGCTGTCGTGTCATTACTGGAAATACCTTCATATCGCTTACAACCTTATAATAATAACAACTTCAGAAAAGAAGAAAAACATCGAAATAAATGCGTCTATGCTTACGCGTGTCGAAACGTTCCGACTATTTATGGGAGTGTGGGAGTTGATGCCACATGCCATATTTTCATAATTGGAAAAAGACAAAGCTTTGAACATCATAGTCATCACGAATATGGCAAATACCAATATGATTTTCAATTTATTATAAAAATAGACTTTCTTTAGGAAGTTGAACTACTAATTGAATACTAACATTCAAAACAGTAGGTACAGATTTACGAAAAAGAATCATAGGGTCAAGCATAAGCAATTTCTGTTTTTTAGAACATGAGAGACATATATGAAAAAGTTGACAAAAAAAGTATATTGTATTACATCATCGTTTTTTAAACTTTTTTACCAGCGGCTGTTTTTTTTTAAAACCAGATTCTAGAGATCTAAACCAGAAAATAGTTTTTAATCTCCGATTTAATTAATTAATTAATTTGGAGGACCTTTTCTTGCATTAAAGTTTCTCAAGATTCGGCAATATTTAAGTCACCGATCAGGAAAGTTGAGCGGATGTGGTATGATTTTCATAGCCAAGCAATTGTAACTTGTTCACAGTTTAAATTATACCATTAGGTTGAATATTAACATGCAACCTTTCCTGTTTAGCTTTTTTTTGTCACATTTTGTAGAATGGTCAATTGTTTACAAGTGCATCATACACGACAACAGAGACATAAACTTTTTTAAAATATATTTTGACATGTGCCCAGATTGAAATTTTGAACCCCGGAAATTTTTTGATGTACAAGCGGACGAACAGAATTTCCAGAGTTTTTAACTTGCTTTGAACGATTTTGGCAACTATAGTTTTTCTTGTGTCAAGATGTGCCCCACTTTCTCTGATGGTTCAAGGTAGATTTTCATCCCTAAGTAGTTGAAAATCTCGTGAAGGAAATTATCCATCAAAGAATAGTTAACTAGCTAATTAACTTTCTTTGTAAAATGGGAAAAATGTGATAGAGCAGAAATCATAAAAAAATATTAGGTATTAAAATTAAACTAAACTTGGATATTCTGTTTATTTCAGTTCCCAAAAAACCGTTTACTATATGAAATGAAACATCAACCATCAACCAATTTAACAAAATTTGTGTAATCGTTAAAAAAAGAATAAATAAAAAATAAAATTTATTGAAATTTGTACGTACAACTGTACTTACCTAAAAAAGCTTTTCCGTCATAAAGCATTGTAAAAGTTGTAAACTCGTAAAGAATAATTTAATATTCTTTAATAACAATTTAATAAGTACTTTGAATTTAACAAATGAGATCTTTTTTATGTCCTACTATTCAGTCATTTTTCGTGACTATAGAATTACGATATCTTGTTTGTTCCAAAAAGCGATTCCTGCAGATACACATTGCTATAATACAGAAGTTTTGATTTTAGGAATATTGTAAATAAACCAAATAAAATAGTACACTTCATTCTTTCTTGGACCGGAAAAGAAAAATTTCCGAGATTTCTTTTTTAGTTTCAGTATTTCACCATCATCAGTTTAGGGCTTGCTACATCGATGTTCAGAGTTGAACTTCTATCTAATCAAAGACAAGTGATGGTCCGGCATTCTCAAATTGTCTGCCACAAACTAAGAATTCTTTTAAAGACTTTAAATTTTGATGGACTCTTCCGCATTCTAATGTGATGCACGGGTCTGGAGTGTTCCTTGGGAGATGTAAATTAAAAAAAAAAAATGTCAGCTGTCCTCTTCCAATTTCGCAATTTCGTTAGTGTATTTAGGTGCCCAAATCTCAGAGGTAGTATGCATAACTATATACAAACTTACTTATATATGTCCATTCCATTCGTCCACACATTGTCACACAAAATAAGTAAATTTATCTCCTCAGAACACATTAAAATAGCTTTTTAAAAACCACAAAACAGTACACACGCTTTTTCCCAAAGTCAGACACAACACCAACAGCGTACAAATCTGATGTAATTTATAAAATTAATTGTATGAACTGTCTAGCTATATTGGAATTACATCGTAATATATCTGGAAAAATGAAAAAGCAAGACATCTGTGACAGCAAAAACCAATACTAGCATTGGTCACACACTAGAAAAACAACTTAACTTTGATTTCTACAAAATACATATAATATAAACACTGAAAAAAATACAAACGCAACATTTTAGAAATAGGTTACATTAACAGCCAAATCATAAAGCAAGTAAACTATTACACTTTATTTTTATATTTCCCTTTCCCTTGTTGTCGTCCTTAATAATTAACTACTTTGCCAATATTGAATGCAGAATCACATTTCCAATCCAGAAAATCCCCATTCTCGATTTCCTTTGAATTAACTAAAACCGCCTTCGATCAGAGAAAATTTCCCAGATTTACCGCGACCCCCACCCTGTCCAATCATAGTAATAATAATGAAATCAGCAGAATACAAATTCAAGTTTGGCAAAAATTTCAAACAATACCAATATGACACCACAAGAATAGCACCATAGTTTATGTAAGTATGAAATACTTGGTTCTGTATCGTAAGTTTTCCAATCGACATATGTTTTACAATTCACCCAGGCCCTGAAGATGACCCGAATAAAGGTCTAAACGCAGTAAGAAAATGAAAAAGTGTTTTTCTAAATTATCTAAACTTCTTGACCGCTCCTCACGAACCCAACCATTATTAAACAACGATACACACATTGTTCATCAATCCGCTTTAGCCATGAAGTATGATTCGAATAAACAAGCTCTTCTCGTAATTTAAAAATGCATCTTAATTGGGACAAAGACAATCTTTGGACGGTCAGCTATACATATTAAAGCAAGGTTTTAGATGAGGAAAAGAGAAAATGTGTGGAAGAAGCGGCACAAGACGCAAAATGTTCTCGGCTAGCTGGACTTACTCTTGCCAATAAAGTAGATAGTTGGTCATTCCAGAAAGAAATTAGGAGAATTATATTTCCGAGACAGGTTTGTCCAACTGTTAAACCAAAACGTATTTTTATTTATAATTTCTATAGCAAATAACCTGGGAATACGGGGGGGGGGTAGGTTCAACACTTTTAAGCAATACATGAAGTGTAACTTCAGATTGTGAAGAAAAAATAATATCCATCTTCGTTTCGAGATGAACATGTAATGTTGTATTTTATTATTGTGTAATAAAAAGTATTCTTATTTAAAAACTATTTTATTTTACGAAATAACGTAACTTTTATAAATGCACTTACTTTCTCGTTAAGCAATGATTTAATTTCAGAACGTTCAAATCTGGATGAACTTTGGTACAAATTAATTCAAAATATTAAGAATTTTTTTCTGTTGAAAAAAAAAGTTGTAGCTTAAAGCTCTGAAAGAGAGACAGTATTTATGAAATGTTAAGTATCATAATAATTAACATAGACTAATATGTGTTTCTTAGTGACCTGATGTTTAATAATTTGTTGAAGTGGTGAGGAGCGGTCAAGAATGATGAACTGTAGAAAAACA